ATTTTATGCAGCCTGTGGAACGTAGGAGAGAGATGCCGGTTCATGTAGGGGGTTCTGCAAAAAGGCGTCACATGCGGTCACAGTGGGATCTCGCCGCGAGCGATGTCACGCTTTTGTCACGATATGGGCCCGGGAGATGTGCAAAGTTGCCTCTCTATCTCGACACGCTCATTATTTACTCTATCGGGCTGGTGTATTGTACTGTAGACGGCATATTCATGATATCCCAAGCCATTCCGCTGCAGTCCGTTGAGAGCATCACGAGAGATCTAGTGGACACTGTTTCTTTCCCATGGCCTACAGGACCCGTTTTCTCTCCCTCTTTTCAACCACAGCAGATATTCCCATTCTGACTTGGCAGAGGGTCTATTCTAGTGTATATATACCTGCCTGAGCTTACCCAACATTTTTTGGTTGAGTGTGGAATGAGATATAAGGGGGTGAGGGGGTTCTGCAAATTTTGCAGAACCCCCTCAATGATAGTACGGTAACGAGGAACAGTTTACACCTTCTGCGCAAGGTGAACTAATACCAGTAGACTTAGGGTCAGAGTAGAGAGCTGCATGAAGCTTTGTGGTAAGAAGTGCTGAAAAGTCCATTGGGTTCAAATGCACGCCTGCGCCAGGCCAACTACTTCGGAAGCGCCCTTGCGATGTGCGATATGAAGAGTGACGGCAACATATCTTTGACCAGCAGGATCCGGAGCATAGTCAAGCATACCAGAGAGAAGTTTATCAAGCCTGTACTGGCTCCTCGGAGCGGAGCCGTGTGTGTGGATATTATTTGTTCCGCATCCCGCACGAGCGCTGGCGTATCGCAGGGGCCATCGTACACTGCGTGTAATTGCTCAGAAGTACATGCCAACACTGTGCTCGTTGTCTCGAAGAAATGGGTGGAACGCGAACGCTGGTGTGGCATGGCTGGCACACCCGTCCTGGGCCGCGCCACCGAGCTGTTCTTAGCCAGCTTATCTAGGCGACGACGCGACCCCGCATGCCATCACGCGCGTTTGCAATTGCCTATCTCCCCTCCAGCTTGAGTCCTGTCAGTGGAGAAGATTTCATTGCGAGATGCGGTATTTAAGCATTGGGCCCGAGAGCAAGCTGGCGGGGCGTTCGTTCTTCTCCCGTGTCCTCGCGAGCTGAGTGTCGACGGAGCAGTATGAGCAGCTTGTTACGCCGCCTCGAAGTCTCCCATAAACGCGGGTTGAGCCACAGTCAGACGTTCTTGGAGGTGGGTGCTAGTACTGTTATTCTTGGTCTGCTTGTGAAATCCTGATCGTATGGTTCCGGCGATAGAACGAAGATCTGCTCCCGGTACCCGCAGAGCAGAGGACATGGGACAAATGGAACTTTGTAGCATTGTACGATTGACCCCAGTTGCTGCATTTAACTTCTTTATTTATTAACTCCATCGGAATAACAGCTGGATCGCTGATAGTTTCAATGTCAATACGTACGCCTATCACCGCTCACTAGCGAAACTTCCGGCTGATAGTCTTTAGATGGATGATCGTATCCTCCATGATCCAGCTCGGGATGTCCTGGTGGCAGGCGTGGATCTGCGTGTGGATCGGGTACGGGGTTGCCGCGCCCTTCCTTGTTCTGAATGCGCGCCCGGGCGCGGTGCACCACGTCACGTTCCCGGTGGTCGCCCGGACGAGCTTCGGGTTGTGGGGATCGCTGTGGACAACGCTGAACCGAGGCGTGATGGCTTGGTGAGCACATCTCCATATTTCGAGAATGCGTGATCGCCGACGCTCCGTTAAGTATATGGTATGGCGTGCAAGCTTCCATAGGAGGGAGCTGCATGCTTGTCATGCTGCGAGCTATGTGGCCTAGCATCAATAACATACGTGAGTCACAGAGTTCATTTATTTTGGTGCTGGGTATGAACACGATTTCCGTGACAAGCAAACCATCTCCCCGCGTCATCGGGCACGACCTCGCGCGATTTCCTGGGCTTCTTCCTCTTCTGGCTGATCTCCCTCCCGGCGATCTGGTTCCCCGTGCACAAAATGTAAGCCGATCATTGCGTTCTCATCTTGCGCAGACATTTACACAGTTCAGCCGCCACCTCTTCACGGTCAAGTCCATCGTGGTCCCGATAGCCGCCATCGTCTTCTTCGTGTGGTGCATCGTGAAGGCTAAGGGCGTAGGCCCGATCGTGCGCCAGCCAGCCACGATCCACGGGTCGGAGCTCGGGTGGGCGATGGTGACGAGCCTCATGTCGTGCATCAGCAATATGGCGACGCTCGTTGTGTGCGTGCTCCCCACGGGCGGATTCTCGCTGGTGCTCATATAGAATTGTCTTCATGCGCCATTAGGAATGGCCCGGACTTCGCATCCCGCGCGAGCCGCCCGTCCGCAGCGGTGCTCCCGCAGCTGATCACGATCCCGCTGGCGACGTCGATCATTAGCTTCATCGGGATCATCGTGAGCTCGTCGTCGCAGGTCATCTACGGGGAGGCGGTGTGGTCGCCCATCGACCTCCTGGGGATGTTCTTGGATGGAGAGCCGTCCCACGCAACGCGGTTTGGTGTACGTCGTGTGTTAGTATGAATGGAGACGTGTATGAGTGACGCGCTGTTTCCAGGTTTGGTTCATTGCCGCTTCATTCATAATCGCGCAGGTGAGCTTCTCCGGCTTAGTATTACCCTGTAAATGTTCATATGATTACTCTGTGATTGTGCACGTAGCTCGGGTAAGAACTGTGTGGAATGCATGGTGGGGCAGGAGATGACGCAGTCAACAGGACCAACATATCGGCGAACTCGGTCAGCGCAGGCTGTGATCTGACCTCGCTGTGCCCACGATATATCGTACGTATCGATGCCCTCTTCCGCTGATGCTCTGGAAGTCTGATCGTCTCCCATAGAATATCCGGCGAGGGGGGTATATCGCTGCCATAGTTGGGCTATGCATGTGCCCGTGGAATCTGCTCAGGAGCAGCAACAATTTCACCACGTATTTGTCGGCGTACTCGGTTTTCCTGAGTTCCATCGCGGGAGTAATGGTGCGGCCACCGTCTTGCCGGTCTATCACATCTACAAGGCTAAACGCGCATACAGATCACCGAATATTGGATCATTCGGCGGGGGCATTACCGAGTTGCTGACCTGTACTCTACTCGACGAGATGGGTGGTATTGGTACACTTTCGGAATCAATCCTAGGTACGTTGCATGGGATGCAGATGGAACGCATATACTGATGCGTGCATCCCTCGTAGAGCGTATGCCGCATATATCTCGGGAATCCTCATCAATGTTGTCGGCTTCGCTGGAGTTAGTGCGTACCCGTCCAACAGATACTTATCCCCCAGCATTTACTAAGTCGTCAAATTGCTAGCGGGCCAAACCGTCCCTCTCGCGGCTACCAGGATTTATCAAATGTCGTTCTTCACCGGCTTCGGGGTCTCGGCACTCGTATACTGGTTGCTGAACCGCGTGTTCCCCGCACCCGGCGCGTCACGTAAGTTCGAGGAAGTTGATGTATCCGAGCAGGTGGACAGCCCTGCGTACTCCCGGGAAGAATCCGATGCTGAGAGTAAGAGCATGGGGAAGAAGAGTATTGAGGATGTCGAAGTGCGTGCCGTCTAGATGGATAATAGAGATGAAAAGACGACTACGGTGTAAACTACTAATGAGTGACGAAATCAAAAGTATCTTTGGATGTTCTCTTCGTCTTTTGCGTTCCATTGTCGTTGTGCGCATGCAGGGACTAGGAAAGGTGAGTGCAGTCTACATATATTACCGTTACGTATTGAACTGACGTTGGTATATGGTTCGGTGGCTATAGAAGAGATGTGTTATGTCTGGCGCTCCTCTGCCATGGTCCCGGCCATTTATCGCTCTATACGGAAGCCAAGACAGGGACAGCAAAGCAGATGTTCCTGGCTCCCGAACTTCTCATGTGCATGCGGTCTTGCAACTTCAACTAGTACTATTGTATGCTTTCGTAAGGTTGTCGCAGACCGGATGCCCAAGATCGATAGGTTTGGAGAAACTTTACACCATTTACACCTTTGTATCAGAGAAGATTCTGACCATCAGGGTATCGGGCACCCGACATCCACTGTCCCACTCGGCTTGGTAAAGGGAGCACTCCTGTGCCGAATGGAAGTCAGACTCCCGTGAGCATTTGATGTTGCTTCCGCTTTTATCTTATCATTGTGGATAACAAGATTAGAACCGTTCTTTGAGCCATGTACTTTAAGTACTCTGCAAGGATCGGGCACACGGCTGACTGACTGTCGCCTGATCGCGTCCAACTTGTCATGAAGAGCCTTCTGGAGCTGCTGGAGGTTTCCCACAAACCAGGCTTGACATGGACTGAGACATTCCTTGAGGTAAGTGGCATCCTTTACTACTGATTTTGTTTTCCTAATCTTCGGTCACTAGAATGAAGACTTGGTCCCTGTTCCCCAAGAACAGCGAACATGGGGCCACTGGAATTACATCTCTTTGTGCGCAGTCTACATTCCATTGCTAGTACTTCAGAGGTGTTGACCATGAGTGTAGTTGGGTCACGTCGAGCTACAACGTCAACACGTGAGGACCCGTCCTTCGTCTCTGGGCCAGCCATAATCTCCAGCCTTATGCTAGATGGATGATCGTCTCTTCGATGATCCAACTCGGCATGAACTGGTGGCAAGCATGGATATGCGTCTGGGTGGGGTACGCAGCGGTCACCCCCTTCCTGATATTGAACTGCCGAGCCGGGGCTGTATTTCACATCACCTTCCCTGTGGTGGCGCGAACCAGTTTCGGCATGTGGGGTTGTCTGTGGACCACGTTCAATCGCGGTGCTATGGCTTGGTACGCTGCGAGTCCTTTCTCGTCGACATTGGGAAACAAAGCTGACTCGAGGCCGTTGCACTCTTAGCATATGGTATGGCGTGCAAGCCTCGATCGGTGGAAACTGCGTTCTGGTCATGCTCCGGGCGATGTGGCCGAGCGTCAATAATATTCGTACGTCTTCGCCGAACCCGAGAAAGGTACCAAAGTCACGCGCGCACGTCTGTTCAGCGAACCACCTCCCGGCTTCGGCAGGCATCACCTCCCGCGACTTCTTCTGCTTCTTCCTCTTCTCGCTCATCTCTCTGCCCTTCATCTGGTTCCCCATTCACAAGATGTACGTTTCCCACCATATTGCATGACGGCATCACCCTCTCATCTGCCCTAAGCCGTCACTTCTTCACGGTAAAGTCTATCTTGGTGCCCATCGCGGGTATGACCTATTTCGTGTGGTGCATCATCAAAGCCAAGGGACTCGGACCCATCATTAGCCAGCCCGCCACCATCCATGGATCGACGCTCGCGTGGGCGATGCTCGCGAGCATGATGTCCTGCCTCAGTAACAAGTCAACATTGATCGTGTACGTCCACTCCCGTTTCTTCTACTATACTTTCCCACCGATTCTCATCGCGACTTAGCAATGGGCCTGATTTTGCCTCGCGCGCAACCTATCCCTCCGCCATCGCGATCCCGCAGTTGGTCGCGGTCCCGCTCGGCAACGCGATAATCAGCTTCTTCGGGATCATTGTGAGCTCGTCCTCGCAGGTCATCTATGGAGAGCCCATTTGGTCGCCAGTGGATCTGCTGGGGCGTTTCTTGGACGGCGAGCCGTCGCACGCTACGCGATTGGGGGTGCGTATCCTTTATTCTTCGGAGGATATCAACGCTTATGTTGTACCTGTGAAGGTCTGGTTTATTGCCATCGGTTTCATAATTGCTCAGGTACGCCGTGTGCCTCACAAAATTGACCGGCATCCCTTCGTGACTGATCTCCCTCATAGATAGGGTAGGCGACCTGTGAGTATGGGAGACTCAGCCGCCTGATACCGCTTCAGAACCAACATCGCCTCCAACTCTATCAGCGCAGGCTGCGACCTCACTTCCCTCTGTCCGCGCTTCATCGTACGTCCTTGCCCTACATCTCTACCTTTCCCACTCCTTTCCCCCTTCCCATTACCTGATCCATTTGCTCAGAACATCCGGCGCGGCGGGTACATCGCCGCCATCGTCGGCTTCTGCATGTGCCCGTGGAACCTGCTCAAGAGTAGTAACAAATTCACTGCTTACCTCTCCGCGTACTCGGTGTTCCTCTCCTCCATCGCGGGGGTCATGGTGCGTGTCTTCACCAGACATTTCCCTCCAAGTGTGGTTTTAAGTTGGGAGCTGATGAATGGTTGGGGCGGAAGGTGACGGACTACTGGGTGGTGAGAAGGGGCCATTATAGAGTCGGGGATCTGTATTCAATGCGGAGGGATGGGTGGTATTGGTATACCGGTGGGTATAACCTCAGGTGCGTCTGCCTTCAACAGTCAAGAGATGTCTTTCGCCCGGCTGAGGGGACTTGTATTTGCTTTCCAGAGCATACGCAGCATACTTCGCCGGGATTTTGATCAACATCGTAGGTCTCGTCGGCGCCAGTACGTAACGCTTCCATTCCCCATGGCCTCTCCCGCCTCTGTATTTTTCCCTGGCCTCTCTGCACGTCTTCTCCCACATTGCTGACATCGATTTCAGTGGGCCGCCCAGTCCCTGCAGCCGCCCTGCACATCTACGACCTCTCCTACTTCACCGGGTTCGGCGTCTCCGCGCTGCTCTACTATCTTCTCAACCGCGCATTCCCGCCCCGCGGAAAATTCGAGCAATTTGAGGAGGTCGATTTGTCTGGGGTGTCGGAGGAAGAGGAGGATGTAGAGCAGGGGAGTACTGGTATGGCCTCTGGGAAAGAGAATGAGAGTGACGGTGAGGAGGAGAAGGGGAGCGTGGGGGAGAAAGGGGCGGGCCATGGGATGGTTGTTGTTGACGAGGTCGTGGATTTAGCAACATAAATATTGATTTCAGGAGTACACTGTGTTCTACGTGTATGTATACAGTTGGAGTGAAACTTGTTGTATACCCTCTAGCCACTCCCCGATTAGGATAAGCGCCTGCCAAATCTGGATGACACGGTGCACTGATTTCGTTATCCTTCGCGCCTCGTTTGCCACGAGCCTTTCAATTATCTAGTGAGGTGGAAGGTGAGTGTGGCCCACATAATCGCCCTTACCTTACCTACAGAACTCACATTAGTGTTTGCGTCGGGGCCTATAGGACAGATGCGTTATGTATGAGAGTCCGGTGCCAGTTTGCCGGCCACTTATCGCTCTGTGCGGATATTAGGACCGTAGCACAGACGTTCCTGGCTTCCACGACTTCTCGAATCCATACCGACTGGAGCTCAACCATGCCTTCCTCTATTTGCAAGCTACATGGTAAGGTTCTCAGACCCAGTACACTTAGTTGAAAGATGGTACTGAGAAGCGTGATGATGTGCCAGCACCCTTGATGGCCTTGGACACAGACTGAGAAAATATTGTGACCATCAGGGTATCGGGCATCCGACATCCACTTTCCATCTGGCTCCCTGCAGGGAGCACTTCTCTGCCGAAACCAGTCCCGCTTCTTGTGAGTTTTTGTCATTGCTTCCTCTTTTATCTTATCATTGCGGATAACAAGTATAGAACGACTCCTCCAGCCATGTACTTAAGTACTTTGCCAGGATGAGGTGCATATGCCGGCTCAGGCTTTAAGTTGTCCGTACTGCCCACCGGACGCGGATTAACTACCATGCGCAGTGTCTTAGAGCTGCTGGAGGTTTCGCATAAACCAGGTTTGACATGGACTGAGACGTTCCTCGAGGTATATCATTGCTTCATTGCTGATATATATTCTGTTCTTACTTTCGCTTTGCTAGAATGAAGACCTAGTACCTGTTCCCCCAAAGCAGCGAACATGGGGTCATTGGAACTTTGTCTCCTTGTGCGCAGTTCAACCTCGTCCCAGTACATCCAAGGCATTGACGCTGCTTGCAGCTGGGTCACGACGAGTTACAATGTCAACACGTAAGGACCACCCCCATATTTTAGTTCCGTAATCTGATATCTTGTACAAGCTGGATGATTGTCTCGTCCATGATCCAACTCGGCATGAACTGGTGGCAAGCCTGGATCTGCGTGTGGGTAGGATATGCAGCCAGCACCCCCTTCTTGATATTAAATTCGCGACCTGGTGCTGTGTTCCACATCACCTTTCCGGTGGTGGCAAGAACGAGCTTCGGGATGTGGGGGTGTCTGTGGACCACTTTTAATCGTGGTGCTATGGCCTGGTGCGTTCAGAGCCCTTCTTATTGACACCAGATTCCAAGCCATTTATACGTAGCATATGGTATGGCGTGCAAGCCTCGATCGGCGGAAACTGTGTCCTGGTCATGCTCCGCGCGATGTGGCCGAGCGTCAATAATATCCGTACGTCTTCGCCGAAAGCGATAGAGTAAATCAAATCTAATCACGCACTTTTGCTCAGCGAACCACCTCCCGGCATCCGCAGGCATCGCCTCCCGCGACTTCTTCTGCTTCTTCCTCTTCTCGCTCATCTCCCTCCCTTTCATCTGGTTCCCCGTCCACAAGATGTACGTCCCGATCCTCACCCGTGTCACCCGCTCACCTTCCCCTCAGCCGCCACTTCTTCACCGTCAAATCCATACTGGTGCCCATCGCTGGTATCACCTACTTCGTGTGGTGCATCGTCAAAGCCAAGGGGCTCGGCCCCATCATCCGCCAGCCCGCGACCATCCACGGGTCGACGCTCGCGTGGTCGATGCTCGCGAGCATGATGTCCTGCCTCAGCAACATGTCCACCCTGATCGTGTACGCCCCGTCCCCTCCCTACCCCTCCTTCTGACTCTCACGGGCGACTTTAATAAAATAGAAACGGCCCCGACTTTGCCTCGCGCGCGACCTACCGCTCGGCCGTGGCGATCCCGCAGCTCGTGGCGGTCCCGCTGGGCTACGGGATGATCAGCTTCTTCGGGATTATCGTGAGCTCGTCCTCGCAGGTCATATACGGCGAGCCGGTGTGGTCGCCCGTCGATCTGCTGGGGCGGTTCCTGGACGGGGAGCCCTCGCATGCTACGCGGTTCGGTGTGCGTCTTCTCTGTGAAGTCCCGCGAGGAAGACGGTCGCTCACAACTTAGTGCCTCAGGTGTGGTTCATCTCCATTGGGTTTATCGTCGCGCAGGTGAGCGGTATGATTCACTGACCTGGCTAACCCGTTTGTTAACCGAAAATAATCACCGTCCCTCGTAGATAGGGTACGTGCCATTCATTGTACCCGGGGACTGAGTTCTTCACAGCCATAAAACGTATGCAGAACCAACATCTCCGCGAACTCGGTCAGCGCGGGGTGCGACCTCACCTCGCTCTTCCCGCGCTTCATCGTACGTCCTTCCCCCCCTTCTCTTCCCTAACCTAACCCAACGTCCTCGCCCCGCTGCGCAGAATATCCGGCGCGGCGGGTACATCGCCGCCGTCGTCGGGTTCTGCATGTGCCCGTGGCTGCTGCTCACGAGCAGCAGCAACTTCACCGCCTACCTCTCCGCGTACTCCGTCTTCCTCTCCTCCATCGCGGGCGTCATGGTAAGCCCTCCGCTCCACTAGCGCGGGTGTAAGCTGGGGCTGACGGATGGCCGCGCGCGGGGAAGGTGATGGAGTACTGGGTAGTGAGAAGGGGGCATTATCGGGTCGCGGACCTCTACTCGATGCGGCGGGACGGGTGGTATTGGTACACGGGCGGGTTCAACCTCAGGTGCGCGCGGGAGCGTTGGGCGTAAGGAGCACATGCCTGACGCGGACGTGAGCATGCAGAGCGTACGCGGCGTACCTCGCGGGGATCCTGATCAACGTCGTCGGGCTCGTCGGCGCGAGTACGTACCGCTCCCGCACCCCCCGCCCCCACCCCTCCTTTTCGCTCCCCTTTCCTGAACACTGACACATCTGACATTGCCGCAGTGGGCCGCCCCGTCCCGCGCGCCGCGCAGCACATCTACGACATCTCGTACTTCACGGGCTTTGGCGTCTCCGCGATCCTCTACTACGCGCTCAACCGCCTCTTCCCCGCGCGCGGAGCGTTTAAGGGGTTCGAGGAGGTGGATGTGTCGGGGGTGTTGGATGGGGGGGAGGTGGGAGATGCGGAGACGGGCACGGTGGGAGAGGGGGAGGAAGAGAAGGGGAGCGTAGGGAAGTTTGGAGCGGCCGTGGCTGTTGACGAGGTGGTAGAGCGAGCGGTGTGATATGTACGTGTACGTGCGTTGTTCAAGCTTGGAGTGGACGTGGATGTCGTTGGATGCAGCCACCGCCCGATTAGGAGATGCTCCTGCCGAATCTGGTACTTGTCCTACCCCTGGCCTTTGCGGAGGCTGTCCCCGTCTCTAAACGTGCTTTGAAGTTTAAAATTGAACTGGATGACTTTCCGTAAGGAAAAATCCTAGATTTCGCCGTCCTAAACGCCATCACAGTGCCTTATCACGGTCATTCGCACGGCCGATAGACAGGATAGAGGTGTTTCTCCTACAGTGCTTTGCATAAGAAACTGAACATCGCATTTCCGCGCGCGTTGTTTGTCCGCGCCAAATATACCCTTTTCGGGTAGGTCCGGAAGGCCTCTCGCGGGACCGTTTGTTGGGCAGGGACTCGCAGACGACACGAGACGGCTCGAAAGGCTTCAGAGAATGCATGAAATGTATATTCTACAACTACACTAAGGGCTGTAAATCGTTATACTCTGCCCCCACCTGTATGCCTAGCTACCCTCCCTCTCGATGGGTCTTTGCCGCACATTTGCCGATACCCGAAAA